CCGCTGCGGGAACTGGAAATTGGGAATGTCCTGATTTCTACCCTGTCCCAAAGCAAGGATCAAATGGGTTGGACACGTCCGTGCTGGGCCCAAATGTTAAGCACGTCTTAAAGGTTAGCCTTGACGTTACTAGGTATGAGTACTACACCCTCGGAAGTTATGACACCGATAAAGACAGGTACATTCCGGATGATACATCGCGGGATGGTTGGAACGGTTTGAGATATGATTATGGCAACTTTTATGCTTCTAAATCGTTCTTCGATCATAGCAAGAATCGGAGGATTTTGTGGGGTTGGGCCAATGAGTCGGACACTGCTTATGATGATATGACGAAGGGATGGGCCGGCATTCAGGTACTACCCAAATTTCTAAGACTCCTCTTTTTTTTTTTTTTCAAGCAGTTTCTAAGACTCCTAATTCTGTGGTTGTCGAACGATTCCGCTGGGCATTTTTTCAGTTGATCCCGCGAGTAATTACGCTGGACCCCAATGGCAAACAACTGTTGCAGTGGCCAATTCCAGAATTGGAAAGTTTGAGGGGGGAAAATGTCCATTTAAGCGGTCAGGTGCTTAAAAAAGGCGACGTTGTTGAAGTGACGGGAATAACTGCAGCCCAGGTTCGTGCCCGGGGTAAATATACTCTTAATACTGCTGCATTTGATTTGAGCGTAAATAATGCATGGCAGAAAGAGGGAAGTATTTAGTATTTAGTGAGCGGACCATTCATATTGCAGGCCGACGTGGAAGTGACATTCTCCTTCGCCGCCTCTAGCTTGGACCTGGCAGAACAGTTTGACCCGGCGTGGAAAACGCTTGATGCTCAGGACGTCTGCGGCCGGAGAGGCTCAACCGTTGAAGGTGGGCTTGGTCCATTTGGTCTCCTGACGCTCGCCTCCGAAAACCTGGAAGAGTACACTCCCGTGTTCTTCAGAGTTTTTAAAGCCGGATACCAGCATGTGGTTCTCATGTGCTCTGATGCTCGAAGGTTTGTTTCCTTTTAGTTACAACACCATCAAATCTATTAGTAATAATATTATTATTCGCTTCAGTTGTTGTGCTTTTCTCGTCAACATTCATTTGTTTAACCTCATTCCGTCTCGTCCTCTGCGTTTCAGTTCTTCTTTAATGGATGGGCTGTACACGCCTTCATTTGCGGGATTTGTAGATGTAGATTTGACCGATAAGAAGCTTTCCCTCAGGAGTTTGGTACGGCTGATTGATCGATCATTTTTGCTAAGACTGGCAGGTATTCTGTAGTTAAATCATTTTTGCTTATTCCTTTTTTTTTTTTTTTCTGGCAGATTGATCATTCAGTTGTAGAGAGTTTTGGGGCCAGAGGGAAGACGTGCATTTCATCCAGGGTTTATCCAACCTTAGCCGTTTCCGACAAGGCTCACTTATACGTATTCAATAATGGCACTGAGGCTGTTAAAATTGAGACTTTAGATGCTTGGAGCATGAATAGGCCTAGGATGAACTAAATTTAAGTACCAACATGTTTATCTTTTTTTGCATTGGAACACGACAAGGATACCTTACCTTGTTCGCGTGGTTTGGTTTGAATTATATATTCTCGGTGACGTTTCTTATTTGCAAAAGAGGAGTATGAGTTGTTGTATTAGTGGAAAATAGTGGCAGTACTAGTCAGAAGAAAAATGGCTATTATCAAAGAAGAACACTAATTAATGGGCGAATTGATAAAGAAGCCTTTGACAAAGTGAAAACTATGCCAGTGGAAGGCACTTGGGATCCTCAGTGACATATTTTCTATGCTGAGAAGACAGTATCATATTTTCTGTGCTGATTGATCAACGAAACAGACCTTTGCTTTCTGATTCGGGTCTCCACAAATTACTTACTAATGATACTGTCTTCTCAGCACTCAAGGATAGCGCTGCGATGGGATATTTGGCTCCTGAGTACAGTCCTACTGGCCGGTTTACAGAGAAAAGTGATATTTATGCATTTGGGGTACTTTTGTTTCAAATCCTTTCTGGGTTCGAAAAGTAACCAGCACAATGCAAGCTACTGCTGACTTAGGAAAAACTCAGGACTTCATGGATAGAAATCTCCATGGAAAGTTCTCTGAACCTGAAGCCATCATCCCAGATTCTGTGCATAATTGGACTTCTTTGTTTCCAAATATTTATTATGTTATTCCTTGTCTCCACTGCCGATTGTCTCTTTTTGGCTTTGTTCAAAGCAATCACCGATGAAAGAGTTTGGAGGCAATTTTGTTTAGGTTTTCTTTTTCTTTTTCCCCAATGCAACAGATCGTGAGTGGTTATGGTATTTGAATTAGACCAGTCGGTTAATTTTGGTTCAAAGTTTTAGAGGGTAGAGAAAATTTGTGTTAAACCAAATCAATTTGAATTATTAAAAAATTAAAGTGTAAATAATAACAGGACACTTGGCGACATATTAGAGGTGGCATTGGATTGGCATAGAAAATATGTCAGCGAGGATCCCAAGTGAATGGAAGGTGGGTAGACGCGACCTACAATGACATTTATACTTTGTTTAACATTCGGTTGAACTCAAACCTTGTCGTCCATATAATACACGTGAACACGAGACATTTGCCTCCATAGTGGAACGGTGCGCCCTCAATAATGTCTTTACCAAAATAGTGAATAATCACTTGCTGATTGTCACGTGCCTTCCACTAATACACGTAGTGGGTACCACACTGCAGACCGCAGGATGAATTGCCGAATGGAAAGTTTTAGCAATTAAAGTATTAAACCCACCCCCGACCGACGTTTTCATTTCTTCCACAGAATTCCCCACAACAGCACAAATCAAGTTAATTAGCAAACTACCATGGCAGCAGCTGTGACGACTACCAGCAGTGACCGAATGGAGCAGCTGAAGGAATTTGACGAGTCCAAAATGGGAGTAAAGGGTCTATCCGACTCGGGTATCTCCACCATCCCAAGTATCTTTCTACATCCCCCGGAAACCCTCTCGGACCTCAAATCTTCTACAACATCCTGCGGCACAGGAATCCCTGTCGTCGATTTATCAAACCTTCATTCTGATTTCCACAGACCAAAGATCGTAGAACAAATCCGTGAAGCCGCAAGTAGCTGGGGTTTCTTCCAAGTAGTCAACCACGGGGTCCCTGTCTCAGTACTTGACGAGACAATCGCTGCCATTAAAGCATTCCACGAGCAGCCCGGAGAAGAAAAAGCTAAGTATTATAAGCGAGATCAAGAAGGCCATGGCGTGATGTACTCGAGCAACAACGACCTGTACCGTTCGCAAGCTGCATGTTGGCATGATTCGCTACAGTTGTGGATGTCTCCTCAGCCCCCGAAAGCGGAGGACATACCGGAGGTCTGTAGGAGGCAGGTGGTGGAGTGGGACGTGCACGCAAAGAAGGTGGCTGATACAGTGATGGAGTTGTTGAGTTTAGGGTTGGGATTGGAAGCCGGCAAGTTCAAGGAGTTGACATTTTCGGATGCTAGGGCGGTTGTAGGGATTATATACCCTCCCTGTCCCCAGCCGGATCTAACCATGGGGATTACCTCGCACACGGATCCTGGTATCATCACTGTTTTGCTGCAGAATCAGGTTCCTGGCTTGCAAGTGAAGCATGGGGATGCCTGGGTTGATGTGAAGCCCTTGCCAGGAGGGCTGATAATTAACATGGGAGATTTTCTTCAGGTAAGAAAACTAGTACTGTACTACTTTTTTTTATAAAGCAAAAAAAAAAAAAAAAAAAAAAATTCACACAACGTTTTATTTTATTATTTTTTTTTTTTTTGTGTTTTTGGGGCGGGAGAAACGTTTTGAATTTCTATAAGCAGATTTATGCAGGTCGCTTACTGATAAACTAGGAAAGAATAGAAGTGATTAAACCCCACAAGTGTTAAACTTATTTAGAATTCATATTTTTCTGGGGAATCAAGAAATTCTTTCAAATTAATTGATAATAAGAATTTATGCACGGAAAGTCAGTAGTCAAACGTCCTGCTCGATATCCTAGTTAGTATATACTATATAGAGATGATACAGTTTAAAAGGTCACATAGTAGACACGTCAGTCATGCATACTGGGAAAACAAATGTAGTACTGGTTGATGTCCAAAACTTATCGCTTGAAAATATATTATTGTACGACAAGTTAAACAAAAAAAGATAGCTGCAGGTGATTGATGGTACAACAAATTAGCGCATGTTCTGGAGTTATTAAGCACTTGGGACATATAAATGATAGCGATATCCTTCCTACTCTACTCTTTTTCGGCACGATTTTTACCAGATAGTCTCAAATGGCGAATATAGAAGCGTGCAACACCGAGTGTTGGCAAATGCCTCCAACGAGCACCGCATCTCCATCGTTACATTTTTCAACCTGACGAAATGGAGAGAACTCGGCACATATGGACCCCTGCCGGAGTTGCTGTCGCCTGACAAACCAGCCTTGTATCGAGATTTCACCCTGCAACAGTTCTATGACAACTTTTACAGCAAAGGATTGGATAGCAAATCTCTGATTGAAAGAATTAAAATTACCACCTGCAGCTAATGCCTTGTAACCCAGTGGCGAAGGTCAAAAAAAAGGATGTGGAGACGGCGCTTCAATTTCAGGTGATATGCTGTCCGTCCAGTGCCAAAAGTCAGTCGTGTTTTAGTAATATATTCAAATACGCAGCAATTTTCCTGTAATGATTTCAAATTTCAAAGTCGTGGGATCGTGCAGGAAATCCTTTCGTTGTTATATGGATATGAATGTATGCGTGAAATTGAGGTCAAGAAATAAAGTAGTACTACTATTAATTTCGTAAAGCACTGTACGTGAATGGGCTCGATTTGCTTCTCTAATTCTACATTTTGTGATAGATTTTCTTGTAATAATCCAAGTTAAAAAAATCCCAGTTGATAATTAGTTCCGTTCAGCAATTGAACTTCTTGAATGTCAGACATTATTATCTCCTCAGTTTGGTGCCAAGTGCCAACCTTGTGGCGGCGGTAAAGGACACCAACCCGAAATGTCCCGAATGAAAAAGTCCTTTCATTTAGAATAAATGTCTTTTCGGTCACAATAACATGATGGAAAGAAAAACTTTCATTCCAATATTTTCAGAGCGGGTGGAACATTTTCATCAAGGATAAGCCAAAATCTTTCGTTTCGGTGGGTTTTAGGTCGTCTTTTTCGAGGATTTTTCTCCATCAAGGATTTGGTGGGTTATAAAAGTCTAAATGATTTTGTGTTGCTTTCATGGATTTTTCCTCGTCTTCTTCCCAAACATGAGATTGTGGCTGGCCAATTGTATCTTTTCCCTTTTTCCCCCATGACTGATTTGTAGACCATCAAAGTCGACTATCTCTATCTGCGAATAAATTTCACATCGAATCAACCACACGGACCCAACAATCGGGATACAAAGTTGGCATGAAAATCTTCAGAACAAGCCATACAGCTCTTGAATGTGGCACAATCTCCAAGCTTTGTATCATAAAAGGCACAGAAACATAGGACGCTTGCAAAATCTTCAGCAGAAAAGCCATCTACAAAAATCACGGACATCAAGCTCTCCGGAAATCAATCTCCGACGGTAGATAGATTATATAATACAGTTGTTCACCAGAAAAGCCACTAAAAGCAAACTATACAATTTTCGATACCACTTCAAATGACCAGCATTTTCAATACCACATTTAGTTGCAACGTGACAGCAATTAGCACAACGATAACATTTTAAAGCAAATGAACCATCTACCACCCACGAAAATCAACTGCAAGTGAATCAACTGCAAGCTGACAAAGTTAAAAGAGTGGCAATAAATGTAGGGACCTACAGAGCCCCCCTTGCCACTCTAATAGCAAACGGGGCAACAATATAAAAGTCCCATCCTTAAAAGACTAATTTCGAGTTTCTAAAAGCATCAACATCAACAAGCTAAAAAAGAAGGCAGAAGCAAGGGGAAGGCAGGGAACCCTCCCAGCAGGAAAAAGGGTACGTGGCTAGCTTCTACATCCTGCTTTACATGTTCTCGGATGCTGCTTCCTCTGGAATTCTTGGTTGAACTTCCAACACACCAAATATGAAAATCATTATGGTTACAGTCAATGAAACAAAGGACGAAAGGACATGATCCAGAGACCTAAGGATTTAATTTGCCACCCATTTCCAGATTAATTTCTGCTTCGTGTATATTATCAAATTACAGAATGCAAAACTGAAGAACCACTAGCTGAAAATAGATTGTTACTCCTTGAACCTGACAAAAAATGAGACCTTGTGCAACAATCCCTTGATTAATGCCTTTAACCAAGAAGACAAACATTTCATTCATAAGAAAGCTCAAAGATGACTTCAACGAAAAAAATACAATTTTATCCAACTTACCACTTGAATTTCTTCACATGGAGTAAGCTACACTCTAACAGACACTATCGAGTACGACAACAGACCACTATCAGACATCCTCTATCTCAAAATTCAGGCCACACTCACATGCACAGGGTCTAGAGACAGCAGCAAGTGCATATAGCAATAAAAGAATGAGCCGATCAGAATTTGATACAGCGATTGGAGGGTGATGCAGCTAGAACAGTTGCACGATTCAACTCCAATGGATCCTTCCACTGTTGCATGAAATGGCAGCACATAGACAGACTGCCAAGTGTTGTGGGATGCTCGGACCATTTAGTAGGTATTTTCCACCCAGAAAGTGCTGCTGATCAAATATTACTAACAAAAACATTCAAATAATTACTGATATGTCATGCACACAAGCACATGATGATGCTAACTTGTACTTCCAAAATTGTTATCCAAGCACATGTTAATAACAGTATGTGATTTACTGAAGTTTAGCATGCACCCGTATATATAAAACTCAAGTAGGTAGCTTCTAGGTTCAACGACAAATAAAATTTCTTTTTCTGTGGGGTATATTGATTGTTTATATTTCCACTTGATGGAAAAGCAGGAAAGCTTTCCATGCGAAAAAACCTCAAAGCTTGACAAAAAATGCAACTAAGTTATAGATGCAAGTTCAGGAGTCACAATCTGAAGAAGGCCCTTTGGATTATCCACATGAACCCAGTGCCCTGATTTGGAAAGAACATGATAAGAGACTTTCCCATCAGCTTCATCAACTCTTTTGGCAGCAAGCCTTTGAATGCGCTGAATGGTGTCTTGCGTCCATCTGTCACTGTTCTCAGCCCGGACGATTGCTATCTCCATCCCTTTGGGAGGTTCGTCCAACAGAGACCAATAATCTGTTTCCCTGATGAAATTTTATTTATTCAACAATGAGTTCCACTTACAACTGGTAACTCTTTCTTCTTATTTTCCCCCTCCCGGATCGATAAATGTACAAAAAAACATATTTTCTTCTTACTTTTCAGATTATGAAATTTTTGTTCCTAGATTTTTCTTTGGCAGCGGTCAGACAGTGAGCAATAATTTTCATCCTATAATCATAACAAGCAGCAGATTAGTGTACCTATAAGAATTAAACATCTGGATTGCACCTTCAAAATTAAATGCCCATGTCTCTTGGTCTCCGGATCTCTTCAGATTGCTTCCAATCCATTCTGACAATGCCTTTGAAAACCCACGCTTCATCATGTGATCCACCAACCATCTAAGAAGATGATTCCCGACAGAATGGCACGTTAAGTAAGTATAACCCGAATAGAAGAGGGAAGACTAAGGCAAAAGAATACTGATGTGTGAGAGATAAAGCACAGAACTTCACAGCCATGCAGTTGCTTGTCTCAAAAAAAATAAATAAATAAATCTATGTAGTTGTCGAATTTGACCTGCTATAGAAATTGAAACTAAAATTGTTGTACATTTTTTTTAAAGGCTGTACCTGATAGGTTTATCGGTTCTAATGAAGAAAAGTTCAAAAGATCAGCTTTTCCAAGAAGCATGCCATAAAGCAACAATAGATTGCCTTTAACCAGGTAAAGCAGTAATAGAGTACCTTTAACCAGGTTGAGTAAAACTGAAGACACTTAAATTGTCAGCTAATCACAAAAGATACCACAGGAAATATTCACATAACATGAGCGCACAATTCCTGTCTCAACAATCTGAGACTTGGCTGGTAGTGCACAATAAAGTATGCATATAGGAAACAAAAAAATCATCAGAGGGGGAAATCGACATACTTTCGAGATGGAATTGATGAAGGTAGACATTGCAAGGTCTGCAATACTTGCTCCACTTCTCCATCACTTTCCTCAGGGTCTACTTTCCCAGGGACTGAGTCAAGTACCCATAACTGCTCTGCATCAGGAGTCTTATGCATGAGTGAACCATAAATTGTTACAGATACGAGTAAAGTACAAGTACTCAATTGACAAGTATCTGAGGTGGCAAAAATTTAAATTCAATATGAACGCTTGCATTGCAGGTATACAAGAATGAGTTGCAAAAACCTTTACAATTGATTTAATGAGGTATGGTATCCTTAAAAGCATCTTTGGGAGAGAATTAAAGCTAGCTTGTTTGCAGTAGTCACGTTGTTCATACACCTTTTACTCTTCAACACTAAAGATTGAACTGTGCAGCAGAACATTAAAATTCGAAAAATAACCAGCCAAGATGATACCAGAAGCTCGGCAGTACTCATAAGTTATCAGAAGTTACAATAGATTCCAGTCAAGGAAATTTAAAAACCGGAGTTCTATAAAATTCGAAAAAGTAGGCAACTGAACGCACAACAAATTGCCTATCACTGGGACTGGTAAAAGGGACACTATCATTGGGCTATCAAAACGTACATCCTACTTAATAACACATGCCAGTTCAGGCTTTCATGCACAAAAGGGACAACGATAATAGGAGCAAGTATTTCAGTAAAATGACAAGCAACTGTGGGTACAGTAACAGAGTGAAGAAAAAAGCATGCCACAACTCCCAGAGTGATTAACAACCAAAGACAGCAGACGAATTATCAATGGAACAGGATACTAGGAAAATGACCTGCTTGGGCAAACAAGCATGTTCCCCATAATCACCACGAGCACAACTCCGAGCGAAATCCAAGGCCACCTTGCCACCCAAGGAGTGCCCTATAACCACATCAGGCCAATCCCATCCTTTTGACTTCACCAAATCAGCCAAATCTCGAGCCGCACTCCCTATAGTATGCGGTGGCGACAGTCCTGTTATCTCGGCCGACTTCCCGTGATTCCTCAAATCCACCATCACCATCCTCCATCCTATCTCAAATTCAAAAAACACACCAAAGACAAAAGGGGAAAATAATTAGCTCAGATCACATGGTTGTAATGCAATGTCCGATAGACATTTGTAATGTACCTGAAAGAGAGGAAGCGAGGGAACGGGAGAAGGAGCGCCAGTTGCGACCGGAGCCTAAGAGGCCGTGAAGTATGAAAGCTGTATAAGTGTAGGGCTTGTCTGGGGAGGATAAAACTTCTTCGAAAGCTAGGGTTTCGAGGGTCCTACTGGACTGGTGAAGGATCGGATTGGGGCACGGCAAGATTAGGAACCGGTTCAGGAGTTTTGAACCGGGCTTGGTTACTAGAGATAGAGTTCTAGACATTGATGGGGCTTAGAGCTGGTGGGGCGTTGTTGAATAGGAAAATTAAAGAAGATGGGAACTAAGAATGGAGACAGTATCGTGGTGGAAGTTTGGAAGGGACGAGAAGAGAAGACGAGAGACCGAGACCCCAGAGGATATGGAAGAGGGGTACCGTCAAGACGATGTCGTTTCAGTGCCCCATCTCTGAATATCAAAGAGTACTAGTGCAAAAATGTTGACAGCTGTGGGATTTGAACCCACGCCCTTCCGGACCAGAGCCTAAATCTGGCGCCTTAGACCACTCGGCCAAACTGTCTATTTGTGTCTATATTCTAAAGAAATTTTAGGATATTACAGTACACAGACGCCATGGCTCAAATCGCTCTAATATGCAGTTGCGAACCCTGTGATGCGCACCAAAAGTGTATCTAAATAATAAAACTGTGTTGATTGCACTTTATCATTTTTATTTCTTGGATGATAAATTATAGTACATTTTTTTCATCTTCAACTAGTTTGGATAACGGCTTACTTTTCATTTTATTCCCAGTTTTTTTTTTTTTCTTTTTTCTGTGGCCAAATGCTAAGCTTGGAAAAGACAGCTTCTGAAGAAGCATATACTTATACGCCAGTCTCTTTTCTTCCTAGAAATCAAATTCCGAGGTGCAAATGAATACAACTAAATTCTTTATTTAAGCCTTTCCCCAAATATTTGCAAGCGAATGGGCATTAGACAGGGGAACTCCCACACAAAATGTCATGCAGAAGAACAGGACCGTCGCCTTTCTAAGATATACAGTAATAAATCGTGTATTTTTTAACTTTTCAAAATGGGACAAATTAACCAACTCGAGCATTGTATATTGATGTGGCGTTTGTCCAGAAAGTAATCAATACGTCGGCATTTTGATCAACTTTCAAATTCCCATTTCCAGAGGACCTGTGGTTGAACTTCATCTTCCATTTCAACTTTTGATATCATGCAAGTCCGTTTGCTCAGAGGACTGCCCTTAATCGAAGGGATCTATTCGAGGGTCATGTTCACTTGCCATGGCCATCCCAGTGCAAAGGCATGTCGGGCACATCACCTATCAAAGAGACAAGGAGTCAGCAAAAATGGCAGATAGATTTTAAGGAGCTGGAAATCAACTGAAAGCATGCAATCAGCATTCAGTGTAAAAAAAAAAAAAAAAAAATTTCAACATTCTGCGGTGCCAAGTCTAATTTCCAACAGAATAAGCAGCATGATCTGATGCCAAAAAACACAAGAACAGAATAAGCAGCATGATCTGATGCCAAAAAACACAAGATAGGTCATAGTCTTTTTTAGCTAGGTAAATTTCCCTTTGAGAGAGGTGTGTTGAATATTCACCAGATGTTCACAAATTATGCAATTAACAAGTCACATACCTTTCCTGAGCCTGAGCAATTTTGACACCTCTGAGTAGTTGGTCCATGCAATTGGCGGATGGAATCACTGCTAGTCGAGATGGGTTCGAATTTTAAGCACGTGCCACTAGCAGAACAACGGGCGCATGCCAAGTATCCTTTTGACATTACAGTGCAGACAGAGAAGTAATGGCTAACAACGATCAGATATCGAAAATAAAATTAATTGCAGAACAATATAACTGTAACATAACATAGCATTCAAATACATTTTGCAAACCAAAGTAACAAAAAGCAAATGAACAGTTGTAATTCAATTTGAGATATCTTAGCATATTTCATTACACCAAATTAGAATGTTTTCAATTGACATTAACCTGGAAATCTGATTAGAAAAAGAAACCATGGCTTCTCTAAGCCTTAGCGGTTAATAAAGAGCTATTTACGAAAAAGAAAATATTCATTTAACAAGATACCAGGTCTTGGGTGGAAGGGGGAGTTTTTGAAAGGCCAGAAAGAAGCCTTCACAAGTTTTTGTGCTTACCACTTCCATGGCAATACTTGCATCTTTTCTTCTCTTGTTGCTCAACATTGTTCACTTCTATTAACATCAAAGCAGAAATAACCCCCACTGCGCCTCCTGAAAAGGATGCCACTATTGGATCGACCTGACTGAATATACAAGGAGAAGATTGTTCAAAAACATCCACCAAATGAACTGTATATGGCAGAGCAACTGCCAACCAAAGAATGCTGCTAAAATAATGTACAGAGATATTATTAAGAAACTTTCGATTCCTGACATATAATTTTTGTATTATTTATACCTTAATTGCATAGGCAAATGCAAAGTGTGGATGAAATCTTCATATGACGTGCCACCCAAACCTAATTTCAGCTCCAACTGCCATGTGAAACTGCTCCATAAGTCGCAAAACAATAATGTAGTACTATGCAAGTAGCACAGGTGAATTCGTCGAATCATTCAGGTCTTAGAATACAGTTGACTTCCACTTTTTTTATAATCTCTATCCACTGTACATGCATGCATCAACTTTTTGTTCATATTATACCTTCCCAGCAGGAAAATTGGTTGCAATCTTACATCCAAAACTAACAACTTCATCTTAAGCTCTCTAATATTGTGAATCTGTCCTGTTTCTGAGATGGACAAGAACAATATGCAGCGTAATTGTAGAACTACCTTCAAGAAAATAGACAATTGTACTTTCAAACTAATTCTTACAAGCCATCATACACGAGCACAATTAGTTTGATCAGTCTGATCAAATACACCTGAAATGGTGTATAAATCTATATTAGACAATCAGACCTGTGCAGTTTTTAGATTATGTCTAACTTCAAGTAAATCCAGTAGAAAGCACATCAAGCAAGAGGTCATTCTTATTGCTTTCAGATATTAGACCTTTTTTTCATAAGAACGAACCAAAAGCAAGACAGATAATACAAATGGTATAAGTTTTGCACAATAGCAACAGCATATACAGTAGTTTGTGGATGAGAAGGCTCACAGTTGGTGCAATAAGCCCCCCAAAGACAATTATTCCAGATACAAACGAAAAACTTGTTAGATAGAGCTGCTTCAGCGTCTTTGGCGTCTACATCAAAGGAAAAAGATGTATTCCTAAGTTAGTATTGGACAGCATGACAAAGAAGAGAAAAACAACAATCTAGGACTCAATCAAGAAGAATGATATAGAACAAGAAAATAGTAGACAAAATCTCTTTAAAGTGCATCTACGTCCATCATGACCTGGTTATAGAGGCTAATGCCATAATGCACATGTCAAATCATGCATTGAGCTACTTGTGACTAAAGTTGCAATTGTGAAGATATAGAGAGGATTAATTACAATAGCTCACAAAAATGTAGAGTTAGTAGAAACGAGTACATATCTGTTTCTGTTATACAGCTAAGGATTATCAGCAGGGATTATATGCTTCATCAAATTTCAACCTAGACATATATTGACTAAAGCTGATATTCCTTTCCCGACATAAAAAGCTTCAATCCTGTTTGCCTAAGCATAAATGCGTTGAGTTTCATCCCTCAGGGAATTCATACTTCAAAAGCACAGATAAATTTCAGAGAATCACCACATGGGGGAGAAAAGGAATTGATGAGGGGATATCAGGCATCTCATTTTCCTGTTCACCCGTCCCATCAGAAACTTTTATGCTCTTTATGTGTTGTTGTACTCTTAACCTCCGTACCTACATGTATGAGAAAAAGCTTAGCAGATCATTTCCTACAAACATCGAATGATTAAAATTTGCAAATTGTACTAGAGAATATACTATTCCCTTTCTGAAAGCAAGGAGAAAACAAACCTCCTCCATGAGGAGAAAGATTTTATTGCGCCTGCTCCTAATGTTCTCTTGTATCTCCTGCAGCTGCATTTGTACAAAATCCTCAACTGTTTCTGGCCCTTCTATAATGCAGAAACTGCTGTGAATATGAAGAAAACATTTTAATAATCTGAGAAAAGTTGAATATATACAGAGCCAGCAATATTGACCAATACAACCAGGAGGCAGTCTCACTCTTCTTTAAAAATAAAGGTCTTTGCGAGACAAAACAGCAATTAGCACCCGTCCCCAAAGAAACGTTATTATATACGAAGAAAAGTTTATCTAAATCGGTATGAAATTACAGCTTCCAAATCCTACAATCCAAACATGAATAAAAAGACATCCATAATATTCAGAAATCATACCCTCACCCAAAGAAGCCCATACGAAAAATGGTATAGAAAGTTGAGAAATTGGAGACATCAACCTTCGGATATTCTCCCCAGAAGGCATAGAATTGGGATCATCTGTAGAGGAACATACTATTCTTTGAGGTGTCGAAGACTTGTTGAGCAAAGCTCCGCCTTGGGGTCTTGCAACTCTGGAAGAGCTCAAGAAACTAAGGTTCTTGGAGAAATTAACATGTGAAGGATGCAGTGATGGCACCAAAGAGTATAGACACGAAGAAGAACCCATAATCTTCCCCAAGCCACTCTACAATGATTTTCCTGATTTCATTTACAACAAACTAATAATGCCTGACACAGAAGAAGATTGCGCAAGAGGAAAGGGGATTAGGGATGAAGGGTGCGGGGCTTTGTCCGTACGCAGAGGAGTGTGGGTATGGCATCTCAGAAGAATCCAGATGGAGACGACAGGAATCCATCCAGTATGTTGCTACAGAAGCCGGCAAGTCAAACCTGTTTGACCACATGAATGGAGTTGCAAGTTACAAGCTTTTCATTTTTGGTTATGCACAGGTGGCCAGCCCAAAACTTTCAGGGTGGCTTCAGATGGCAGAGTAAGGCCCGCTCCAGCCCCGCATAGTACATCTATAAATTTATCCTGCGCCCTGCATAGTTAGTGCATCTGCATCATATTTATCTATAAATTTTATACACAATTCACGGGTATATTATGTACACAAATAAGTAAAATATGTACAATATGTATATGTGTACATAGATAAGTAAATATATGTTCTTCAATGCTTATTATATATGTTGCTTATGATATAAGTTATCCATTTTTTTTCAAATAGTTTGTAATCTTAACGTAATTTCCTCATATTGTGTTTCAATATCTTATTTCATTTGTTCACATGAAAATACATACTTCCAATAAATGAATTTTGTGAAACATAAAGCCAATGTAAGATTGATGGGAATACAGGGTAGGGGTAAGGCTTAAATGAGCCAGCATGGGGACCAGAATTAAATTATTTAAGCGTGGCCAGGGCCAGGGGATGAGGATTA